CCTTCCTGGCCTCCCAGACTCTCATCTTGCCCTGACATGGATCCCTGAGTGATCTTCCCAATTTGACATCCAGCCCTGGCCCTCCTCTGCTCAAAAGCCCTCCATGGCTCCCACCATCTCCAGGAGAAAGTCTAGCTCTCTAACCTGTCTCACATACCCCACTGCTTGCAGCTCTACCAGCAGCTGGGCCTTTGCACATGCTTCTCCCTCTATCTGGAGCACATTCTCCCTTCCTGCCAGCAAGCTTCCCCATCTCCTCCAGGGAGCCTTCCCTGATACCCCCTGGCTGGGTTAGGTGCCCCTCTTAGGGGTTCTCACTTCCCACTATAACCTTCATTCTTCTGGGCCAGGACCATCTGTGTCCAGGTGTGTCGCCCCTGCAACCTAAGAGGCTCAAGGGCAGGGCCTGGGCCGAACTCATCTTGGGGTCCCTCCCCAACGTTGCACAGCACAGAGCCTGGCACTGGGCAAGAGCTCAGGAAATTCTGGATGAAGGAATGAGGAAATCCACAAAAGACAGAATACTGAAGTTGGCATCCCTCCCTCAGGCTCTGACCAAAGCCCTGGGGAACATCACAACAGACCCCTAAGCCATGGTTTATAGTACGCAGAACCATTCAGCCAGACCAGACAAGAACTCCCAGTCTTACCAGTCTCAACCAAACTATAAAGTTTAAAACAAGTACATCTTTGTTAAGTGCCTGCCAGAGGCAGGCTCACCATCTGCTTTCCCCAAGTTCCTCCCTGATTTCAAGGTCTCCTTTCTCATGACCCAACATGGGCCCAACCCCCATGCCACCCTGAACAGAGATCCAAACACAAAAACCCTTGCTTTTCGAAAGCAAAAGCCTCTTATTCATGAAGATGTATGACAACTGGGTACAATGAAGTGTGAACATGGTACAAAATTAAGTGATTCCATGGTTTATTTCTTTAATAGATAGGGGAACATGTTGACTCTTAGAGGTCCTAGACATTGAGAAGCGTGGGAGATCAAGGGGGATCTGGAAGTCTCCCGGACTCCTCCCTACCCCAATATCCAGCCAGTTGCTCCCCAAGTCTCACTGGTGACACTTCACAAACATCTCTCAGTGCTCTCTGAGCCTCTCCACCTCTTAATTCCTGCCCCAGTCAGGACTTATCCTCTCCTGCAAGACTAGCACACCAGGTCCCCAACCCACCCCCACCCAGCCTGAGAGCAAAGCCTCACTCCTGCTTCAAATCCTTCTGTGACTCCCCTTCAATCCCAAGAGCAGAGCCAAGCTGCTCAGTGTGACACCCAAAGCCCTCTCTCCCCCTGCTTCTGGTGCCCTCCTCACCTTCTGGCCAACAGACCAGACACACCTATACATGGTTCCTGAGACGCAGTGAACTCTCTCTTGTTTTCATAGAGGATTTTCTCTTTTCTCACCCAGTAAACTCCTAAGCATGCTTCAGAACCCTGCCTGCTTCAGTGTCCTCTCACCCCTCCGTAGGTTCCTCTCTCCAACCCTGGATCTCCTGTTTCAGACCGGCGCACACTGTGTCCCCAGCCAAGCTGGGACTCTTCAAGGCCAGAGGATGATTTATACCCTCAACACATACACATACTTCCCATTCTATTTTCCACCCCTCAGACAGAAATGGTCCCTGAGCTGGGGACAGACACACATGCCAAGAAATAGTCTTCATCTGGACCCCACACAACAGCCATAAGTAAATAACACATAAAACATAAATTAGATCATGTCCTTCTGCTGTTTAAAACCCCTGCCTGGCTCCCAGTGCCCCGGGTTAAAGGCCAAGCTCCGCAGCCTGCAAAGGGAGGCCCTGCACGATCCAGACCATTGCACCTCTGGCCTTTGCCCAGGACATCCTCTGGGGGACCCTGACCTCTCCTTGGTGGCCACTACCTCTCCAACATTCACTACCTAGGGAGGCCTTCCTGGACTTCTCGGGCCACTGACTGCCTTTGGACTCCTCTTCTACCTCCCTACCACCCCCAGGACGGTCCTACACCCTCTGCCTCCCTCTCAACCCTCCAGCTTCTGGCTCATGATTTGTCTTCTTGTATGCATTCTGTTCTCTAGCACACTGCATTTCTACTTCCTCCAAAGCACCATACCCTCCTGCATTCAGGCCTTTGTACAGGTCGTTCTCCTTGCCTGTAATGCCCTTTTGCTCCCTCCTACACATGCCTCTGGTCTCAGATATCACCCAGGCTAAGTCAGACTTTTTCTCTGGGCTCTCCGCTCCTTGGGTGTGAATTTGTTTCCCCCACTGGACTGGAAGCCCATGAGGGTAAGACTGGGGCCCTGGCAGAGGCTACTTTTCCTCCTCCTCCTCGTGACTGATTCCTATTGGTCCTTTAGGTCTCAGCTCAGACATTTTCTCCTCCAGGAGGTCCTCTCTGCTCTCCCCCATCCCTGGTCCCCACATCAAGCACCTCCTCTGGAATCCCATGCACTATGGGGTTCCCCATCACAGTACCAACCACTGTGGTCTGTCGTTGCCTATTAACGTGTTTGTCTCTCCAACTGGATCCCAAGCCTCGAGCCACTGGGGACCACTGGGACTGCCTTGGTCTCTGCTATGTCCCAGTACCAAATATAATAGCTAGCACATGAATGATAGAAAAAATGCTTTTATTTAAGTACTTTAAAAATAACAACAGCAACACTCCTAATATTATTTACTGAGCACTTACTATTTGCCAGGTGCATTAAACACCTGTTCTTATGCCCTGGTTGGTGTGGCTCAGTTGGGAATCTAACTGCAAAGCAAAAGGTTGCTGGTTCGGTTCCCAGTCAGGGCACATGCCTGGGCTGCAGGTTCCGTCCCTGGTCAGGAGGCATGTAAGAGACAACCGATCGATGTTTCTCTCTTGCATCAATGTTCCTCTCCCTCCCTTCCCCTCTCTCTAAAAATAAATAAATAACATCTTTAAAAACAAACAAACAAAACCTACTCTCATTTTATTCCAACAACCCTATGAAGTTGGTACTATTATTTGTTTGTTTTTTTATCCTCACTGTTGGACACTCTTTCATTGCAGTTAGAGAGGGGAAGTGACAGAGGAAGGGTGAGAGAGAAACATCGATGAGAAAGACGAACATCAACTGGTTTGCCTACGGCACAAGCCTGCACTGGGTATTACAGGTGCCCGGAAGGGGGATCAAACCTGCAACCTAGGTATATGCCCTGACCGGGAATCGAACCCACAACCTTTCGATCACGGGGCCAAAGCTCTAACCAACTGGGCCACACAGGCAAGGGCTTTACTGCATTTTTTCCATTATCACTTATCCTCCCTATACCTTTTCCCAGGGGGAATAGTATTATTATCCCCACTTGGAGGGAGGGGAAGCTGAAACTCAGAGAAAGGAAGCCACCTTCCCAAATTCACAAAGCTATGAAGTGGAACCCAAATTTGACGAATGTGATTGGGCTCACAGACTGAGGTTTCTAACAGTTAATCAGAATACCCCTCATTGATGCTCCTAGCTTGTAGCTGTCCGTCCCTCTGAGTGTGGGTGCAACTCCTCCACCAGACTTCAAGGCCTTTCAGGGTGGGCTGCTTTTTTGAGGAAAGGGCCTGCATCAGAACCGGATTCTGGAAATGTGGTGAATGGATGAATGGCTGCACAAATGAATGAATTAGCAAGGAAATGACAGAGTGAGTGACCCACGCTGCCCTACTCACCCTCGATGAGCCACTCGCAATTGCCATTGACGCTGTAGTTGCCCGCACCATCCGTCACGAAGCCTGGGGCCTCCCGCAGCACTTGCCGCTGCCCCTTGCAGTCCCCGGCCCGGGCCCCAGGGGATAGCTGCCCCAGTACGGCCAAAGATAGGGCTAGCGTGGTGGCCAGAGCCCGGCCCAGGGCCATCGCCGCCTCCGGCACTGACCCTTACAGACGGCGCGGACCTTCCACCGGTGTAAGGCCCTGAATGCGACCTCTATGGACGGGACATGGCCTTGTAGACCGGGGAGGTCTGGGAGTCGCAGTCCCCGCGAAGGGAACAGCCGCTGTCCACGGGCTCTGGAAGTCGAGGGGTGGGCCCTATGGACCCATGATAGGCCCTGTAAATGGGGTTGCTATAGGCGGGGCCGAGCCCTAGGGACCGTGGGAGTCCCTTACAGACACAGACCCCCATAGGCTGGCTGACCCCATAAACGGTGTCCAGCAACTACAGACGCGGACTGCTGCAGGCCGAAACGGACCTTAGAGACGGTTGGGTCCCCAGGAGGTGAAGGGTCCTACAGCCAGTCGAGCGCCTCCATAGAGGACGCAGGCCCGGCCGAGCAGGCCGGGATGGTCCGGGAGGGACTCCAGCCGGAGGCGGAGCCCGTCCACAGGGGCTTCAGTCTGGACCGCAAACACTCACTCCCTCGCTCACCCACCCTGCGCCTCCCTCAGAGCCGGATAGCCCAGGTCACAGAGTCGAGGAGACGCTCGGGCCAGAGCGGTCCCAGGAAGACTGCAGGGTGGGCGAGGGGGCGGGGGGGGGGGGGGCCGTGTGGGAAGACTGGGGCCGGGAGAGGAGGCGAGAAGTCGCGGAGTAGCAGGTCAGAGCGGCCCTGGGAGGACTGCGGAACACTCAACCCCACCCCTCCACAAATGGAGACTTCCGGAAACTTCCCCGCCCATTTGTGCCCAGACGCATGTGCAGCATTGACCTCCTTGGCCACCGAAGAATTGCACATGCGCAATGCTAAAATCGTAACCCAAACTCAGGGTGCAGCTGGCTGACAAAGTAAGTGCCACTGGAGGGCGCCTCTACCTCTGACTCGGGAAGAGAAGGTAAAAAGGAAAAAGCGGTGAAGAGGACTAGATGATTCATATCTTCAGTGCTCTCAAATTCTGGGTCAACATAAAGGTCAGATTATGCAGACCTCTCCCAAAATACCATTTCTCAGATGGACACACTGAGATCCCCAGCCTGGAACGGTTCTTTCTCAGCCTCGTCTCTGAGCACCATCAATGTAAAAGAGGCCATCTTATAGATAAAAACTCAACGAATCTTCTTTATTTTGGCAAGAAGGGATAAAAGTCTTTCTGCCGGGGACCTGAGGGAGGCCCCCAGGATGGAGATCGGGGTGGACAGAACACGGGTCCGAGGTCGCAGAGATCTAAGGGAAGGCTTCAGAGTCTAGACGAGCTTCACAATATCCGTCCCGGGAGCAGTGGCACAGGGTCGTGGAGTCCTCCTGGAGCGCCCCATGGGCAGGGTCCCGGCGATCCTCACTGGTGTTCCGGGTTCCGACGGGGTCAGAGGTCTCGGAGGGGGCCAGGGGGCCGGAGGTCACGGAACAGCGGGAGCCCAGAATCCGGCGCCGCTCGGGGCAGGGGCTGAGGGAGGGGACGGGGAGAGCGGCTCCCGCGGGACCGTTTGGCACAAGAGTCGGGGGGTGGGGGGAGCGGGACACCTCGCACCCCTACCTGGGCGCGCGGGGTGGGGAGGGTCAGGAAGGCCTGGGATAGCCCAGCCCTGGGGCCGGGATGAAGAGAGGGGCCGGGGCCCGGCAGGGGCCCGGCGCGCGGCCCATGGGGCAGGGGTGGGCAGGGGTGTCAGACCGGGGGTGCAGTGCCCCCGGCCGTGCGCATGCTGAAGTATTCGGTGAAGCCGGTGTGCGGCGACGCCGTCTGGGGCACGAGAGGCTGGTAGGACGGCGTCGGGCCATCCCGGCTCGGGTCGGCCGCCTTGGGGAACCGAGTGGGAGGGGGCGGGGAGGCCGCGCCGGGCTCGGCCATGGTCACCACGCGGCCCCTCGGGGCCGCCACCGCCGCCACCGCCGTCTCCTCCACCTGCTTCCCGGCCTGGGAGGGGGGTCAGGGTCAGAGGCCGTCCGGGACCCACGGGGGGCAGATGCGGCCCCGAAGGCCCGTCCCCCTCCCGCCGGAGAACCCCCTCCCGAGGTGTGGGCGCCTGTGTCAGTCAGGGAAGGAGCGGACAGTGGGACGCCTGGGCAGCGGGGCTAGGTACTCAAGGGGCGGCGTCGGGGCGCGAGGGGCGAACTCCGGCGGCGGCCGGGGAGGCGGGGGCGAACTGCGGAAGGCAAGCGGTGGGGGCACGGCGCGTGGCGTCTGCGGGGGCGTGCGCAATAGCGCCAGAACCCAGTCTGGCAGGGTAGGCGCGGGCGCCGGGAGACGGTCGCGGCGCGGCATCGCGGCGCGAGGGGTGCGAAAAGCAGGGGGTGGGCTCAGGCGCCTGGGCGCTGGGGGCGGCGGCGGGGCCGGGAGCGGGGTCAAGTACTCCAGGGGCGGCGCCAGCAGCTCCTCGGGCGCCAGGGGCGCGGGGCTTACGGAGGAGGCGGGCGGGGGAATGGAGAAGAGCTCCGTGAAGTTGGGCACCGAGTCGCTGATGAACGTCACGTTCCCATAGACGTGCTGCGGGAAGGCCTTGTCCGCCGATTCGCTCCCCCCGGGACCCGGGGCACCGGCCGAGGCTATCTGCGACGTGCGCACGTGGTAGGGGAAGTTCTTGTTGGCCGCCGAGGGGCGTGTCATGATCTGGGGTGAGGGGCCAGGTGCAGGTTGAAGAAGCACTGGCCAAGCCTCTGACTGTCTCCATAATTATGGAGTCCTAAGGATCCCCCTTCACTTGGAATCCCCTACGCTTCCCTGAATCCTTCAGACGGAAATAGGCTCCTCCCATGGGCTCTCACAGTGCCGTGGGCTCTGACCTTTTTCTTCCAACACAATTTATTCCTATGCCAGTGCTTCCTCCGTTAGTGTCCTGATTGCTGGGTTATCACTGACTAGTTAAGCTTCAGCATCCTGCGCTGCGTGGTATGATAGCCACTCGCTATATGTGGCTATTTATAATTTAATTAAAATTAAAATAAATTGTCCCTCAGTTACACTAGCCACATGTAAGTGCTCAGTGGCCACATGTAGATAATAATTATCATATGGGACAGCAAAAATCCTAGAATATTTTCATAAGCACAGAAAGTTCAATTAAACTAGTAGACCCTAGAATGTTAACTCCTTGAGAGGAGGAACTTAACTGTTCTGTTCCCTGCTAAATACCTCCCCAATACCTCCTAGAACAATACCTAGTACATATAAGCTCTCAATAAATATTGGTTGAATGTAGAATTGTCTTCCCCAATTAGTCTGGAAGAAAGGCAGGAACTGGGTATGACTCTAGAACTGCATCCGGGAAGCCCAGCTTGGCCCTCTAAGTTTGCGTTCAATAACTGAAGAAGGAGCTTAAACCAATCAGCAGTGGGACACCCATGGTGAAACATGCTCAGCTAAAAAAAATCCTGAGCATTTTTAGGAATGAAACTGGCTCAAGGTGAAATATAGCAGAAAGGGCGCAGTGTTTGGTGTTCTGAGCCTGCACCCCACCTCTCAGCCCCACAGCTCACTGAATGTGGGATCTGGGGCATGTTGATTCAACTCCCCAAGCCTCGCTGGTGGAAAGGGATTGCAGTGCTTACTCTGAAAGATGAGGGAAGGGTGGAAATGAAAACCACTGGTGCAGAGCCTGGCCCATGATGAGTTTTCAGCGTTTCTCTTCTCTCTGCCCCTTTCTGACTTCCTGCAGAGCCTCAAGATGGACTGTCCTAGGAAGGTGAGTCTGTACCTAAGTCAGGCTCTGGGGTAGCAGATAGAGGACCTGGCCCCCTCCCTCAGCTGAGCACCTTTCCTACACAGAGTACGTGGTGGACTCCTGGGGTTAAGAGCTGGGGCCTTCAGTGATGCCTGTTTCCTTTTCATGCCAGGTTTTGTGGTCTGCTGGAGAAGGACTAGGTCCAAAGTACCTGTCCTGCCATCAAAGGCCCTATATAGAGCCCTGGCAGGTCACCTCCCACCTCTGGGTCTTAGCTTTGTTTCTCTGTATAGTGGGTCCAATGACCATTATCTGGGGCTACTCTGACACTTAAAAAAGAGGGTAGGACTAAATGCATATAGGTGTTCCTAGCATAAAACAGGCTGGTTTGAGATAGGTGCCTACGGAATGGTGGATGAATGGGTTGTGAGTGGATAAGTGGATGGATGGATGGATGAATGGATAAATTGATGAATGAATATAAGAGCTATCACCCAGAAGGCTGGATAGGATTTAAACTACAGCAAAGAAGAGGTTTGCCACTGGTACCCTCCTGATGCCATTCAGATCCAGGCTCCTGGAGCCCCAGCCTGGCCCATCCCAGCTGCTTCTCCCCAAACAATGACCTATGATGGAGTGGCAGATTTGGGAGAATGTATGGGTGAAGGGTGGAGTAGAGACCAAGGGGCTGGGGGTAGGCAGTGGGGATACAAAAAAGAAATGTGAGAGTCTGGGGACACAGGGTCAGGAATGGGAATGAAGAGGGGGGGACAAAGAAAAGAGGGTAGGCTAGGGGAAGAGGCCAGATACAAGGTGGGAAAGAAGAACAGAAGAGAGTGGAGGCTAGGGGGCACAGTAGAGTAGAATAGCCTACAGAAACCCAGCAGGCTCTCAATAAGTGTCTATCGAATGACTGAAGAGATGAAGTGAAGGATATGGGTCAAGTGTTCAGAACACAAGGTTCAGGCAGATTGGGGTGAGAGCCTCATACACTGGTTTGAGGCTCTCACCTGATCTCTGCCCACTGGTCTCCCACCCCACCAGATGTCCATCCTCACCAAGAACACGCCATGCGCATACAAATGGATGCCCAGCTGGATGCCATTGACAATTTTCTCCCGTGCCCACTTGGGGATCCCGAAGTTGGCAATCAGGGCCATGACAGGAACTGCAAAGAACCTGAAGGGGAGGAATTGGATTAGTGGAGATGCTACCTGATGCCCCCCACCTCCTGGCTCAACTGCCCTGCTATACACACACACAGGCCCCGGGTGGGTCCCAAACTGGAGGGAAGTTGTGTGACTTTCAGAAGTCAGAGACTAAAAAAGGGCAAGATTCCCACTGGCTTGGGAAATTCTGGGGGTCTAGCAGTAGGTTGAATGGAACTCAGTTCTACCCCACATCACATCCCAGGACCTGACAGGAAAATCAATACATAGTTGATTAATGAATGAACATGTTAGCAACAACTGAGGACCTACTGCATGCTAGATCTGTTTATAAGCATCTTACATATATAAATTCACTGAAGTCTCACGATGACACTGTGAGGCAGGTACAAGTTCCACCTCCATTAAACAGGTTAAGAAAATAAGGTGGAAGTTCACTGACTTATGTGAGGTCACACAGGGACATACTGGGGGCCCAGCACATCTCACCAGAGGGTGTAAGCAGCAAAGAAGGGCACATAAAAGGGCTGTTTCTCCGGGAAGTGACGCAAGGAGACAAGAACAGCATAGCAGAACCACACGTAAGCCGCCACCTGCAGCCCGATGAGTCCGTAGCCTGCCGGTGACTCATACATGTATAGAACCTGGCCCGGGTCAAAAAACTGACCCAAGGAAGAGGGTTTGTCATAGCCCTGGTCTCCTGCCCTCCACACTGGGACCCCGGAACATACCCATGGGCACCCAGGGGACAAAGGCACTTGGTCAGGACAGAAGCCACAGGATAGTGAGGGATGGAGACAAAAGCATATCGAGGTAAAAAGAGGGACAAAGACAGGAAGAGAATATGGCTGCTACCATGGGCCCAACAGGGGTAAACATTGCCATGTGAAAGCCTACTCTATGAGGTAGGTCTTAGGATCACCCCACTTCACAGAGGGGGAAACTGAGGCTAAGAGAGATGCCTTTTGGCTGAAGCCACAGTAATATAAAGTCTTAGAGGAGGCCCTGGGGTAGGTAAGACCTTCCTAATTTCACAGTGGAGAAAACAGGCCCAAAGAAAGTGGCCATCACCCAAGGTGAGCCAGCTGGGAGATGTGTGAGCCAGAGTGGAATCCAGGTCTGTGTGATTCCTGAACTCTTGGTCATGACATTGAGCATAAATATGACAGACAGTGAGAGACAGAGGGAGAAGGGAGAAGCCACTCAGAGACATTGAAAAGGGGAGCAATGCACTTAGAAAGACTGATAGGAGGGTGGGAAATCATAGAGTGAGAGAGAGAGAGCGCGCGCCAAGAGGAATGCAGTGTGGAGAAGGGTTAGCAGACAGGTGGAAGAAGACACAAAGCTTTTTGGGGGGTTGGGGCAGGGCATGGGCAGTGATGGGTGGGACTCACCTTGGCCTCATAGATGAGCAGCACCACGTGGGTAAGAGTGTACAGGGTCATGTAGACAGACAACTTCACAGAGCCTGAGTGGCTGATGCGGCCCCTGGCGACAGGCCATGAGGGGAGATGGCAGGGGTGGGGCCGTCAGGGAGGAGGGGTGGCCACCCCCCCAGACCCTACCCCTTCTCCCACCCCATTCCCCAGCCCAGCCACTCCCCAACCCCAGCACTCCCTCCCAACCCAGCCTGGGCACCGTGTCACTGTGAATCCCTTCCCCAGAAGGATGAGCATCAGCAGGAAAATGAGGAAGCTGGAGGAGAACAGCAGCTTGGCTGGGAGAAGGGAAGAGAGGGCAGCTCAGACACGCTGGCAGAGGAGCCCAAGTGCCCGTCCTGGCCCCCGTCATTCTCACCCAAGATCTTCAGGCTCTCGTTGCCAATGCCATCAGTGGCATACTGGCCCCAGTAGATGCAGAAAAACAGGAGACTGAGAACTGAGGAAGGATGGGCAGAGAAAGGAAAGGACAGAAACTGGCTTCAGTGCATCACTAATCCCTAGCACTGTGATCCAGGTGACCAGAACCCTCCTCCGCCCCCATCAGGATTCCAGAATGTTTACTCCCACTGACCTCCTATCCTAGGAGACCCAGGAGCCCAGGCCTCCAGCTCCCCCCTCCCTCAGACGCAGGAGTCCAGGCTCCCAGCCCCTCTGCCCTCAGGCCCAGATACCTGGGCCTCAGGTAACCTCCTTTCACAGATCTCTAAAGTTGTAATACTCCAAACCTCACCCTCTACTCCTGCTGCGGCCATAAACATTTTGTAAGTTGTGTGGAGCAACTGACGACCTTTCAGCAAATCTAGAAAGGGTGTAAGGGAAGACTGTTCACAGACAGGAAGGGAGAGCAGCTCACTCCCCTAGTCTTTCCTCCCCTCATATTTTCCCCCACCATGTGTGGGACTCACATCCAAAGTAACAGGAAAGGAAGAAGATGAGGATGAAGATGAGGAGGAAAGTCACATCTGTCTCCAGGATCCCTGCCGATTTGGTGGAAGGAGGAAATGGTTCAGTTAGGCTGGTGTCTCTCAGCAAGCGCCCAGCTCTGGGCTCCCTCAAAGATCCTGGCTTCTAGGTTTCCATAGGCTCACCAAACTCATCAGCCGAGAAATGCCGCGTCCAAAAGGACTTGCCATTGGTGAGGACCATCTCGTACTCCAGCTGCAGCCCATCTCCCTGTGGGGAGTGTGGAGGCCTAAGGAGGGCTGTGGGCAGGTAGGCTATTGGCAGGAAGGCAAAGAGGAAAAGAGCCAGGTATCCAGCACAGTCCCTTACCCCACACTTGCTAAGCGCAATGTACCACCACCTTTCACGCACTGAACGGAAGCTTCGGCCACTGGAGCAGCTCAGATAGCGAGTTCCCTCCTCTGACACCACCTGGGGAGGAGCGATAAGGCTGAAGCCTGTCTGCACTGTCCTTAGGTGCTTGACCTTCAGCACCTGCCTACTCCCCCAGGCTGGGCCCATACCTGACAGCCTGACCAGGCATACTGGGTGGTGAGGTTGATGACCTGGTTGTTCTCAGGCCTGATCACTGACTCCTTGGCCAGGCAATCCTGGGAAAGGCAGCGACGGACATGGTCACTCCCTGGCCAGCCTCAACCTTTGCCCCCTCCCATCCACCCTCCTCACAGCCCTCACCTTGTCCCCTGCCTTGTACACGGCTGGCCACTGGGATGGATCGTCGAAATAGAGGAGGATGTTCTGACAGCACTTGGCCTGCAAGCCCAGAGATTTGGGGGTTTGGAGGAGCATGGGGGGCTGGGGTTGCCCTCGCCTCTGGAGACCAAGGGAACATCCAGCCTCAGTGTGGGAGTGGTTGGGGAAGGCTCACCTCAGGGTATCGGAAACGGAAGTCCAGCCGTCCATAATCCGAGAGGAAGCAAAATCTTGTCAGGAACACCCAGTCCTGGAAAAGGGGTCCAGTCAGACCCTTTTCCAGTCCTTTGAGGAACTCTCCTCGACTCCATAGACTCTTAACTTTTCTTCCCTATCCTCTGTACCTTGTTTCCCAAGAAGCATAAGGGGAACAAGTCACATCCAAAATTCGTCTGTGATCCCTTCACCTTGGATCCAGGATTCCTGTCTCAGATGACTCCTCCCCCTCAAACACTTTTCTTATTCCCCAGGTGCCCTGAGAAAGACACTGGAGGGCCAGATCCCCATCTCTGCCACCCTCATCCCAGACACCATCAGACTGGCATCCCCCCCCCCAATTATCCACACACCACCGCCGATCCCAGAGACCACCCTGTGCTGGGCAATATTCCAAACGGCCCTCTCTCGGTCCTGAGCGGGAGCGCGAAGTCAAGGCAAGGCTCACTGCGGAGTAAGAAGTGCTGTCCCTTCAGCACCACCTCGGCCGTTCCCCGCCCCCAACCCAAACTCCACTCTCTCAAGCCGGCTCCTACTCCTCGCCTAGCTCTGACCTCAATGTCCCTCCTACAGCCTCCGAGGTCTCTGCTCGACCCCAAGGCCTCCCTCGGTCTTGACCCTGACCCAGTCCCCCATCTCCTCCAGCCCCCTCTTCTCAAGGCTCCTAGGGCCGCCCGGGGGGTGGGGGCGGCAAGGGGCAGGGCGGTCCCTTCCCTCTCCCCCGCCTTCCTTTCCCCACGCCGGGGATTCGGCGGTTGGCTGGGGAGGGCCCGGCACGCTCACCTCTTTGGAGCTGAGGTTGCCCCGCACGTACTTGGCCCGGGCGCGCGGGGGCAGTGGCAGCAGCAGAAGCAGCAGCGGCGGTAGCAGGCGGCGCAGAGCCGGCGCGCGCGGGGGCTCCATTCCGCCCGCTCTGGCCCCAGCCCCGGCTCCGCTCCGGCTCCCGCTCCGGCCCGGCGACGGCGGCGAGAGCGCGCAGGCCGGCCGACGCGCGCCCCCGATTAAAGGGGCCGCAGGGCGCTGCGATCTCCACCCCCTCTTCCGCGATGGCCTGGTCCAGCCCCTTTCCAAACCGCGTGGAAGGGGACGCCCCTTTTCCCACCTTCTCTACCCCGCCCCACCCCCAGTCCTCCCCTCTGGGAGTTTCGGTGATACCTCCGGCTCCCCGTGTACTAAACTGAATTCACTTTCCAACAAGCCCTGCCTCCTCCAGACTACCATCTTCGACCCACAACTCCCAGACCCCAGCTCAGTTCTGATCTACTCTCAACTTAGTCCTCAAATTGTTCCTTGATTGCTCATCCCCGCCCCCATGCCAGCCATCCCCCACTGGGTCCAACGAAGGTACCAGCGTTCCATTCCTCTTGCACTCTGTGAAGTGCCCACAGAGACACAGAGACAGCAATCCACTTGTTCTGGATCACACAATGCGGTGGAAGCAGAGAGCCCTCAATCTCAACCACTATACCCAACCCCTCTTCCTGACCCTGATCTGTCACTGCTTACCAGGCTGTGCAGTGGGGGCTGCTATGAAGCAGAAGTGTTGTGGAAAGCCGATGAGCAGACTCTTTAGTAAGTTGCCCGGGATGAAATTGCAGTTTTGCCACCTTCTCCCCATTAGACCTCAGCCAAGTCACAGCCACTTAATCTTCTAGTCCATTCCCCTTCATACCAATACCAATACTAGTTTTCCAATGGCAATGGGGAACCATGGAAAAGCTTTACAGAGTAGGGTCCAAGCCCCTCAGGTAGATTTTCCTGATCAGATTTCAAAACGTTTCTAGCTTCATCCCTCTCCCTCCACTGCAGAAAATTTGCTGCTCCTCAAAATACCATTTTAAAAAAACTTTCTAAACCAAAGGACCAAGCAGGAAACGTAGGTGTGTGAAACACTTTCAAGGGAGAATGTGGGTGCCGTGAAAAGGGGCTTCTGATACTTGGCTTGAGCCAGTTGTTTCCAGGAAGGATGATAGGTGCAGTGCCAGATCATTTTCCATTTTTGTTTTTTTAAAAGGCAAAAATGCAATTTTTTAAAGCAAACTGTAGAATTGTAACAGCAGGCAATTGATTCAAAAATTTAAAATACATCACAAGCGAAAAAAAGTCTGTGGGCCAAATTCAGGCCTCATTTGCCATTCCTGCACACACACTGTTGCTATGTCCAGACGACCAGGAGCCCCTCAAGGGCAGGGCCCAGATGTTACTCTAGGCCTCAGCATGGCCCACAGATGTGGGCTGAATGAAAAAGGTCCCATATCCTCTATTCATCCTCTCCAGGTCTTGCACATGCTGTTCCTATTGCCTCAAATGTTTTTCCCCTTCTCTAATAGCAAGTTTCTACTAATTTTGAGAAACGCAGGGTGTGTCAGCTCCATTTTGAAGACCTCCCTCATCACTGGGCAGTCATCAGTCCCTCCTCAGACGCCCCCAGTCCCTCCACCTTTCTCTCCCAGAGATAACCACTGAGGCTGGGACTGTCTGTACCCACCATTGTATGGGGAGTCTCCTGGGGACAGGGTCTATTTCATTCACCATGGGGCCCCAGCATCGCCAGAGCTCGGAGCCCAGCACACAGTTGGCCTCAGCAGGCAGATGTGTTGAACTAAAGCCTCAGATTTCTCCAGTCTGCTGGCCCCTCAGGGCCTAGGAAGGAGATAAGTGGTAGTAGCTTTCCTTCCATTTTGGACTCAGAACTCAAAGCTAAGGGAACGTGCTCTCCTGAGTCAGCTGCTCACTGAAAATCAAGAAGACCATGAAGAAGGTACTTTATTGAAGTGATTGGGAATGCTGCCCCTAGCCCAGCATTAGCTCCCTTAGTACAGTCTCATGGGTGGAAAGGACCAGGCCTCTGGGCTGCTCTGGGCTACCACCCAGGAGAGGCTGGGCTGTGGGACAGGCAGGCTGGGACTCCAGTCCAGGGCAGAGGTTCGGGGCAACAAGGGGGATGGCTGCTGAGGCAGGGGCTGCAGTGTGCTGACCCCACAGGGCTGGGGAGGGGGCGGTGTCGCCACCAGCCAGATGCTTTTCAGCAGGTCAAAGGCTGTTGGCGGGCCCCAGACCACTGTAGATGGCGAAGACAACAAAGGCAATGTGGGTGGCCAAGGACCTTTTGGTGGTGGCAGCCTCACTCCGTGTGTAGTGGGAATGCTGGAGGTGTGAGGCATGGCAAAGGCGAATTCCTTTGTCCCCCGTCTCCTCCTCTGCCTTCCTTCCCCTGGGGCCTGCTCAGGGCTATTGATCCTTCGTCTCTCAGGGTCCCCAGGCTTGGCCCCTGACAAAAAGGAAAGAAGCGTGGGGGACAGCTGAGCCAAAACAGACTAGGGGAAGGGGAGCACAGGAGGCAGGAGGTAGGCTCACCTGACAAGGGTGGCTGGCAGCCCCGGAGCACCAGGGTAAGGTCAGGCACACAGCCATGGCAGGCCTCTAAGGTACCCATGATGACATCCCTGTTCTCTTGCACTAGGTTCCTCCTGGGGAAAGCCTGTGGCAGAATCAGCTGGCACTGCAGCTCCCCTAGCAGCTGCCCCAAGCCAGGGAGCTCTGGGGGTAGACTAGGTGGGCCTGGGCCCAAGTCTCCAGGCACCTGGTTCTCCTTGCCCGTGGACTGTGAGGCTGGTTCTCGGGCCTTGCCTGGGCTTGGTGAAAGCTTGGTGGATAGTGTCGGGGTGCCTGGCTCCAGGGACCCACTGCTAAGCAGCCGTGCCACATCCAGAGATTTCACCTCATGGCTGAAGAGACCCCGGTGCTCACGGCTTAGCCGGCCCTGAGTTATGACCACAAGCTTGGGGGCAGTGGGGGCCACAGGATCCTGGAGGTCCATGGATGGATTCTGATTGGCCACAGGTGGATCCCGATGGGCCAATGGCCGCCGGCTGCCCACCAGGGCCTTGTTCCGCTCCCTCCTGGTCTTCCGACGGCGGACCCGACCCATTTTCTCAGTACTCTGGAAAGACTGGGGGGCTGGTCCCCGTGGGTCCATAGTGTCCTGGAGCATAAAGATAAGGTGGTCATCACCATGCAGATAAGTCAGGGACCTGAAAGTGAGTAGTGAGAAAAAGAGACGGCTTGGGGTGAGATGGGAGACAAGATGAGAGAGAGAGAGTGGGCAGAGAGGGATTAGAAAGGGCTTGGTCTAGGAAGTTGTCATAAGGATAGGCAGGGATCAAAGGAGTCATGGTGAATGGGAAGATATGTCAGGGAATACAGAGGGTTACAGGGACATGGGGCAATAGCTAAAAGATGGGGGATGGAGAAGGGATCATGAAGAACCAAAAGGGATTTTGGACAGAAGAGAAATCCTGAGGTAGAGAAGGTACTGGAGAACGCAAAAAGTAGAGTGAGATGGTAGAGAAGGAAACCCAGGCGAGAGACAGCAGAGGACAAATTGTACAGAGAAAAATCTGTAAGACACAGGGCGACAGCGGAGCTACCAGGGGACTGGGGCCTGGACGGGGGCTGGGAGAGTTGGGCTGTAGAGGATGCGGGGAGGGTGGGGCTGTTGAGGTAGAAAACGGGGGTGCGGTTGGTGGGGTAAGGGTGGGGGAGGGGCACTGCACCTTCTGCCCCAACGAAGCCAACCCCTTTCCCTCCCACTCCGCCCACCCTACCTGTGGAGCACAATGGCTGCTTTTCCAAGGTGACCCGCAGAGCTCCCTACAGGTGCCTGGAGCTCTTCCGGGCCTCCAGCCTCCTGCGCATGCGCGTGCCCCTATTATGCCCTTTGACTTCTCTGTGCCTCAGAGGCACGAGGCTCAAAGACACGTGCCAGGGCCCCAGAACGCCGGTTGGAGCCCCTCCCCTCTCGGCCTCACCCTCGTAAACCTCCCTTTTGCGCCTTGGCGCCTCCCAGCCACCAATTGGAGGTGCCCTCCCCCTTCCTGAATCCGATTGGTTTATACGTCTATAAGCGGACTTACTGTTTGGAGCGTGAAATGATCTGTCTAGTCAGCTTCCGGTGGCCACAGATTTCATCCCTTGAGAACCAGTATAGGGTCACCATTAAAAGCTAGGTTCAGAGCATGTAGACAGATTTAACACTGGAAAAAAAAAAAAAAAAAAAAAAAAAAGCTAGGTTCATATGTCCAGACTGGCACATTTGAGCTGTATGAACCTGGAGAACTGTGTAACCGCTCAGAGCTTTAGTTTACTAATCTGTAAAATGGGATTCGTAACACTACCTACTTCACACAGTTACTTTAAGTATGAGATGAGCCAACATCTAACTTAAAATAGTCCTTGGTGAATGAATGCCTCGAAGCTTTGTTTCTCACTAAGCCTCACTTCAGGAACTCTTTCTACCTCTCGAATTCGTCTATCTACACTTGTCTGCTCAGACTTTTTTAAAAGTTTTTTTAATTTTTGATTTTTTTAGAGAGAGAGAACCATCACTTTGTTGCTCCACCTAGCCATGCATTCATTGGTTGAATCCTGCATGTACCCTCAACCAGGGATCAAACCTGCAACCTTGGTGCACCAGGACAACACTCCAACCAACTGAGCTACTGGGGCAGGGCTCCTGTCAGACTTAAAAATCAGACTATGCTAGGGTATTCCCCATGCCCCAATGAGCTGTATTATCTTTGTAATATTGCTTTGGCTAAGCCTCATGATCTTTACAATCCTAACTCAGATACTATTCCTTCTAAGATACACCTCACCACCAGAGTACTCTGTCTCCTCCCCAGAGATCCCCAGTTCCTCCCTTAGTCATAACCTTGATCCTTTCCTCAGCTCTGTCAACACACTGGGAAAAGGCAAGAATCTGATCTATTCATTTAATGTTCATTCAGCAACTACGTGTGAACAGCCACATTACTCCGTACTGTGAGTTAGGCCCTGCACCAGGCAAGTGGATTGAGGCAAAACAGAAAACAGTAGACTCATTTCTGTATCAACCTGCCTAGAAGGAACGAATTGATGGGAAGGTCCCATCTGGGAATATGGCCAAGAGGTTTAGAGGGTGTGGGGACACCCCCCCCCCCCCCCACACACACACCTGTTCCCTGAGAACTGGGAGATCTAGGAAGATGAGATCTGAGATTAAGATGGGTTGGAGTGGGGGTGGGGTGGATCGACCTTAGGTAGCCTTGGCTGTGGATGTAGGTTTCAGAGCCCAGGCACACTCAGCTGAAGTTGTTGGGTGGCAGGGGTTTAGGGAGGGGAGCAGAGGCCACAGATCTGCGAGGTGAGCTGCTGCGGGAGGTTTGCCAGGCTGGACCTGGGCCTTGCACTGTCTCTAATTTCTCCTTCTTCGCTTTCTTCTAACCTTGCATGGCCTGTGATGTCTGTAATGCAAAGACGTATAATTTAGATTTTATGCCACAAAATTGGTCTTTTTGATTAGGGGAGCCCCATGAGCATATAGGCTCACTGAAGTCCTGGCGCTGCCTTAGAATGTTTCTTTACAATTGAGCCTCTAATTTTCACATTTTGCCATTTTCCTTTTCTCTCCCCCACATCCGTAGAAAATGGGCGCGTCTCCTCCTGACCAGGTGCGTACGAGCCACCCCTTCAAGAGATCCAAGAATGGACCCGTCCACTCACTCCCCTCCACCCCCATCACGTGAATGAGGACGAACACGGACACACACACGCACACGCATACACGGAGTAGGGGGGAGGGAGGGAAGCGGGGAGAGAAAGCTCGCGAGCGCTTGCGAAAACTTCTCGTGTACAGCAAATGGTTTCTTCCTCTCAGGGCATGGTGCTAAATTATTTTTTTCCCCCGCCCACCCTCGGCCTTTGAGGTACTTCGCCCCTCCCCTTGACGGTGGTGGGGTGGTTTCTCCCGCCTCCTCCCACGGATGCTGGTTGGTCTCGCCTTCACCTATCCCCAGGTGCTAGGGTGCTATAGCCGCAGCCACCGACTGGAAAAGCGGCCGGGCGGGAAGCGCCGGACGAGCTCACTGCGCGGCAGCCGTAGGGGAAGCAAGGGTTCCCGATCCTCCTAAGTGAAGGTTTCCGCCCCTGGAGAGGAGGCGGCGCTCGGGATCGGCCTTCGTCCGCGGCGGGAGTGTGAGCGTCTGGACCCTCCATTGTTGCCTGGGGGTGGGCGTGGCCGAGCCATCTCCTCCAGGAGTATTCCGGAGCCGACGTCGCTCGCTTATCTTGCAGAAACTGCGACTCCAACATGAGCGGAGAGAACCCAGCCAGCAAGCCCACGCCGGTGCTGGACGTTCAGGGCGACGGACGCTGGATGTCCCTGGTGAGCGACCCCGCCCGCGATAATCAGCAGTCGGGGGTTGGGACCGGGGCCCAGGAGTTCTGCTGGTTCTCGCGGCTCTTGCTACCTGATTGGGAAACTGAAGGCAGTTAGAATGGTGCTGCCTAAGGAAGCAGGGCCGGGTGGGCCCAGGAGCGAGCGTGCCGTAATTCTCTCTTGTTCGTCCCCGAAGCACCATCGGTTCGTGGCTGACAGCAAAGATAAAGAACCTGAAGTTGTTTTTATCGGGGACTCTTTGGTCCAGCTAATGCACCAGTGCGAGGTGAGGCCGGTCTCCCTCCTCCTGCCCGACCCAAGCCTGCCCTCACTGACACACCTGGACCAGACCTCAGGCCAGGCGGGATATGGGGTACCTGAGGCTATCTCAGGTAGCGCCCAGCACCCAGAATTTCAGTGTAAGGACAGCATTCTACTGAGAGGGAAGTGCTGGGCCCCTGGCTTTGTCAGCAGGCTAGGGTCTTATAGTGAGACTTAAAATGAAGCTTTCCTGCAAGATTGTCTTAAGGTGAGGCTCCTTATTGTTTGCTTAATGGATTTCCACAAAGCTATCGTCCTTTCCACAAAGTGAAGGTCAACTGTTAATAGCTCTTCTTCACTCCACTAAGCAAGATTAAACCTGAATGGCTTTCCTCAAAGTAAGATTTAACTATTGTTTCAATGCATGCCTCAAGCAGAATGGTTTCCATAAAGTGAGCCTTGCTTTACTGGAGTTCCTAGAGTATAATGGATTTGCATAAAGTGAGGATTGACCATACTGGGGTATGTTTGATCTAGGTGAGATTTAACCAAACTGTTTCCATGAAGAGAGGCTCTTCCATGACACTTGGTTAACATTTGGACCCAGAGTAGTGTCCCATGCTAACAATGCCCCTGTGCCAACACTTCTTCCCCACAGATCTGGCGGGAGCTCTTCTCTCCTCTGCATGCACTTAACTTTGGCATCGGTGGTGATGGCACACAGCATGTGCTATGGCGGCTAGAAAATGGGGAGCTGGAACACATCCGGCCGAAGGTGAGCAGGGCTTGGGTGGGCAGCTAAAGCCCCCTTAGTCTGCTCCCACACCACTGCTCCACGCCTCTCTTTCCACAGATTGTGGTGGTCTGGGTGGGTACGAACAACCATGGACACACCGCAGAGCAGGTGGCTGGCGGCATCAAGGCCATCGTGCAGCTGGTGAACCAGCGGCAGCCCCAGGCCCGGGTCGTGGTGCTGGTGAGAGAGTGGGAGAGCGGGAAAGGAAGAATGGCAATGTTCTGGGACCCCCTCCAGTGCAGCCACAGCTGGCATGGTTCTGGGCAGCTTGGCACAGGGCAGTGGCTTTCAAGCAAATCACATTGAAGCTTGCTACATTCATCACAGCAGGTGTGAATGACATATTCAGGCACCAGTTAAGTCCCTTTGCCCAGGGCAACACTGGAGATTCTGGGGTATCAAAATTCAAAATATTGAAATAGACCAAAGTTGTCAAGCATTCCTGGGGTGAATCTAGGCTACATCACTTCTAGCTAGCATGTTTCCTCCTCTGACAGAGGGATTGCCCCCTTGCCATTTTGTCAGCATTTTTACAAGGTGGTGGTTGCTTAGCAGGTCTCAGACAAAGCACCAGCAATTACCCTTCCCATCCGTCAGGTTCCCATCCCTAATGTATTCTGCAGCTGGGGACTTCATGATGGTTGGAGAACAGTTTGGCAGAGATGCTGGTGGGACCCAGGTGGTGATAGGACATTTCCTCATAACTCTTGGTGTGCCCCTCCTCAGGGCCTGCTTCCAAGGGGCCAGCACCCTAACCCACTTCGTGAGAAAAACCAACAGGTGAATGAGCTGGTACGAGCAGTGTTGGCTGGCCACCCCCGGGCCCACTTCCTGGATGCTGACCCTGGCTTTGTGCACTCAGATGGTACCATAAGCCACCATGACATGTATGATTACCTGCACCTGAGCCGCCTGGGCTACACACCTGTCTGCCGGACCCTGCACTCCCTGCTCCTGCGCCTGCTGGCCCAAGACCAGGGTCAGGGTGTCCCCATGCCAGAGCCTACACTTTAAGTATCCGCTTTTCTGCTACATTAAATCCTTGTTCTTCAGTCTCCTGTCCTATTTTCTGCTTAATAGCTATGCCCATCTAAGAAGCTGAACCTCAGGCCTGATCTCTGACCCTGTAGTTCTGCAGGGTGTTCTGTTTCTGCTCAAGGCAGGCATTACCCATCAAGGAACTCTGGTTCTTGTAAAGTAAGGCAGATTTCTATCAAAACAGTGCTCCAAGCAGGCTCTACCAATCAGAAACACTGGATGAAACCGATTTGTCAACACTTACCCTGTAAGATCAGGGTCAAGAAAAGAATTCCATGAACAAAGCGTCCTAGTAGTCAAAACCCACCCAAAGTAGTCCTCCATTATTTGCATATGCTGTTCCCCTGGCTACTGCTCTATGCCTACCTTAGATGCCACTTCTTGTGGAAGATTCCTGATGCTCCCACCCCCAGCAGTCATCCCTCCACACAGGATACGCTCTCTCAAATGGGCACTGCTCAACTAGCTGAGGGGGTGTAACCCAGGAGAGGCTCCTGGACTGACTGCAGTATTGGCTCAGGCCATGTGGGGGCAGCAGGGGCCACCGAGGACAGCAGGGTACTTGGAACAATGCCACTTCTGGGCTCAAACCTTAGGTCCAGCTAGAACTTTGAGGGTTCACTGCCCTTGTAGCACATCTAGGCACTCCCCAAACCCATGAGTGTTGCATGGCTGAGGAGACAGCAGAGCAGGCGTCAACCTCATGAGCACCAGAACCAGAGGGGCTGCCTGGCCCCCATCAGGTCCTGGGTTTTCCTCTGATGGGAGGGGGTGGTCCTGGCATTGCTACCCTCACCTCACTGGGGGTAAACATACATACCACCGTGGCCATTTGAGGAAATGACTGGTAAAACCAACACCCCTTCTCCCTTTTGAGTGGGCAGCTACACAGATGTGTTAAACAGCTTTAATCGCGGTCATTGTGGCTTCTCAGCACAGTAAGAAATATTGCACATGATCAACATGTTTTGTTCTGGGGATCAGGACAAGGGCAGGGGGAATCACCTTCTTAGAAAGTACAACCCAAGTTGGGAGGGCAGAGGGGTGGGGAGAGAACCCTCCCCATGCCTGTGGCAAAGTGCAGGAGCCCCCACCCCAAAAACTAACCTGAGTCCAGCCCCTCTGGGGAAAAAGGGGGTACATGAACTCCCCCTACTCCACAGGCACCTCCCTCTAGCCCAAAGCCCTCACTTCTCTCTGCTTGCAGCCCTCACATGAGCCATTTTGCATAAAGTACAAGTGAAAAGATCTGAAGGTAACACACTCCAGGTTATAATACACAGGGGCTCAGTGGAGGGAGACTGCCCCTGCTTCCCCTCAGCTGCCCCTCATTACTGGGAGAGAGCTGTAGGGGGATGGGGACACACAGAGGAGCAGGCCTCATTCTGCCCCAAACTGGAAAAGACCAAATGGCTTTATTGGGGAGGAGGTAAACATCCTGCCCCCCCCATTCCTGCCACCTACATATTGTCCATTCCTGAGGGGGGGTACTGTGGTTCCTGGGATCTTCTCAGGGGCCTCTCACCTGCCTGCAGCAGCTGTGGAGGAACCAGAGGGTGGGGGGGAGGCCTGGGGGGGGCCCTCCCAGGCAGGCTGTCCTGGCCCTGGCTCTGGGGGCGGAGGCAGTGGTGGGGCAGCCTGGGCCGTGCCAGAGTCCGAGCCAGGTGAGGTGGGGTCAGGACCCCCAGCAGGACTGGGAGTGGGAACAGGGGCAGCAGTCGTGCCAGTGGGGGGCGGTCCAGGAAGGGGGGCCTCGGCTCCAGGGGGCTGCTCTGTGGGAGTGGCCGCCTGCATGATCTTCTGGCGCACCTCACGGATCTTCAACTGCAGACAAACCTTGGAGGGGAAGATGTCTGCGTAGCGGGCCTGGAAGGCTGCTGTGGCCTGGGCTGGGGACAGAAGGATGGTGGGGGTTGGGGAAGGGAGGCTGAGACAAACAGGCAGGTCCTCTCCATATGCCCCCCGCCCCCAAGACTAAGATATGCTCACCTGATGGGAAGAAGCCATGGTCCTGGAAGAGCTGCATGACCAGGGCCCGGCGCTGGTCCAGGGTGCGCCGCAGTGATGAGTATGGCACTTTCTCATATTCCAGCTCGCCGAGCACATCCTCAGCATCTGTACCTGGGAGCAGAGCAGGGCGGGAGCATGATGAAGGGCTACTGCAGAAGCCTAGCCACCCCATGCCCACACCACTTCTGACTGTACACCCAACAGCCCTCACTCACAATTTCACAGCAACGTTCAAACAGGGGGACTGCCCAAGTCATGTGGCAGTTTTGGGGTCTGTTGGACTCTAAACCCACTCCTGATCTGCTGTTCTTTCAGTGACACCCACACCCCAGCTCTCCCACCTCTACCCTATTCCTGAGATCGCACCCCCTTGCAGGTCCTGGGTTCTCCACAGATCTACCCATTAGGCACCAGCACCTGTGCGGTCAAAGGTGAAGATGTCCCCCTCGCACTTGGCACTCTTGGGAGTATTGGGCTCCGAGCTGCAGCTGGAGCGTCTCCTCATCTTACGCTTGGGTGAGGTGGGGTCCTCAGGGGCCGAGTCCAGGTCTGGTCAAATGAAGCATGCTCAGGGGAGGCGGCCCCAGTCTGTCCCCCACCTACCCCAGGGACCACCCCTTGCCTACCAGTGGAGTTCTTCCTTTTCTTACGATAGGAGCCCAAGATGGCCCTGGGCGAGGTGGCCAGAGACTGCAGGGTGGGCGAGGGCAACACCTCCTCAGGCCGAAACTCAGGTAGCTCAGCAAAGCGTTCTTCGAAGTCTACTTCTGACAGGACCCTGCTGGAGAGCAGTCAGGGTCACCTCCCCTGCCCAGCCTACAACCACCCACTCTCCCACCAACCCCGCAGGCTACACCACGGCCCCCAGCCCATGCTCACTTGTCCACAGAGTCAAAGGTCTTCTTCAGGGGCGGGGGCCGCACCTTCACCTTCTTGCCAGTACCAGCCACCTCCTTGCGCTCAGGGGTGTCTCCAGCTGCCCTGCCACTATTGCCCTCGCTGCTGCCACTGCTGCTACCAGGGGCTGCGGCCGGGGCCGGGGCCGGGGCCGGGGCTGGGGCCGGAGCTGGAGCTGGGCTGGGAGGGGTGGGAGGCTCCCCACGACTCTCCAGGCCCAGCCCAGGGACACGCCAATCTGAAGATGAGCTGGGAAATTTGCTGGCCTGGGGTGGGGATGGCAAGAAGATGGAGGACAATGGGTTCAGACTCCCTGGGGCAAAACCCAGACACACACTGAGATGGGTACTGATTGCCCGACAGAGTCTTGGAAAAGGTCCGGTCACACAGTCGAGCAGGAGGGACAAGGGTGTGGCTTAGACGTGCATGCAGGAAAGGGGGGGCAGGACAGGAAGGCAGACAGTGAGCTAAGGACAGAGCCCAGCAGCAACAGGGGCCTCTAGACCTGTTGGGCACTCACCATGGTCTCGGGGCCCTTGGTGCTGGTCCGCTCCTCAGCAGGTAGGGGTGGTGGGGGGCTGCTCCTGGCAGTGGGAGCCCACGTCTCTGGGGGAGGTGGAGGGGCTGGCGTTGTAGGCTGCCCTTCAAGATCAGACTCAGGGGCAGCAGGCTCACGAGCTGAGCCAGGCTCCAAGGGCTGCCGGGGTGCAGGGCCAGGCCGCCCAGGGGCACCTGCCTCAAAGGAGCCCACAGGAATGCTGGCGATGGCTGCCTTCACTTTCTGGGGAGCTTTGGGGGTGGGCCTCTGGGCCTTGGGGGCCACTAAGCTGTAAGTCATGGAGCCTGCTGATGGGGAGAAGAGCATTTGCTGAGCCAGGTCTGACCCGTTCCCTGGGTCCCCAAACTTACCATACCCTGGGTTGGCCCAATACCCACCTGTGGAACTAGGAAATGGGCTAGTAGGAGTGGCAGTGGCAGTGGCAGTGGGAGGAGCTGGTGGGCCCTTGGGCAGGATCGGAGCAGTAGGCGGGGTGGTGCTGGTCGCCACAGTGTAGACCAGGCCTGGGGTGGCCTGGGATGGCTGGGCCAGGGGTGCTGATGAGGAGGGTACTGGGCTGCCAGGGTAAAATGCCGTGATGACAGGAGCTCCAGGGGCAGCACAGGTGGGAGGCAGCTGGGGGCTGGGCACAGGCGACACGCCCACCTGGCCAGGAGCCAGCAGTGGAGCCTGGCCTGCAGAGAAAAAAACAGAGAGGCAGGAGGCTGAGCTAGGGCCTGAACCGCCCGCAGCCCCATCCTGGATCCCCAGCACTGGTCACCAGGTTGCCCCTCACCTGAAAGCAGGGGCTGCACAAAGGCAGGGCCGCTGGGCCCTAGTGAGGTGAAGCCTAGCGCTACCGAGCTTGTGGGCCCATATGAGGTGACTGTTCCAGCCTGGCTGGATGCTGAGCTGGTGCCCAGAGGCAGCGTGTGCCCACCTGCTGACTGCACATAGGTGATTCTGCCATGAGAAGAGAAAAGGGGGGAAGAGTGAAGCGAGTTGGTCCCATCCACGCCCTTCCCTGGGCTGGCCTCCAGGTGTGGGTTCAACTGCCATTACCTGGTAGAGGAGGGCAGCAGGACCTTCTGAGGCTGCGAGGTGGGACCAGAGATCGTGGCTGGGCTGAGGGGTGGTACCAGGCTGCTGGGTGTACTCACAGGCACCGGAGTCAGCTGGATGATCTGTGGTCAAGAGCACCCACAAGCTGCAGTGATTAGAGGACCCAGAGTGGGGCAGGGGAGGACCAAAGCCTAAGAGGATGAGTCTCAACCAAGACAGAGAACAAAATTTGGGATTGGAATGAAAGAAAAGTAGACAGCAAGAGGTAGGGGGAAAAATAAAAATACAGAATACAAAGAATTAAAAACCAATAAAAATGTTAAAATAATTTTTTTTTTTTAAATCTGGGGAATAAAAAAAGCTAGGGACACAGAAAAGGGACAAGCTTTAGACACTGAGGCCAGAATCAAGACGCAGAAAGACATTAAGATGACAAGACACTTCCAAAAACAAAGAAAAGAGAAACCAAAGGAAAGGCAGAAACCCTAGGACATGGAGACCAATACTGAGCAGGAGAGAAATGAGGGACAGGTGGGGCCACAGCCAGGATGCCCTTACCTTGCTTGGTGGCTGGGCGCCATTCTGCACAGGTACTGAGAAGGGTGGGCTCACCAGGGGCAGCGGCTGACCAGCCCCTCCACCGCGCACTGACATGTTAGGGGTGGCCAGAGGCACTAGTACCTTCCCAGGTAACAGCTGGGCTGAGCCACCCGGGGGCGGGGCCTGCACAGGAGAAACCGACTGGGCTGCAAGAGGCAAGGCAAGAGATTAAAGGGAGCCGACCAGGCTTGTGGACCCGCTACTTGTGCTGCCCGGCCCAGGCCTCACCTTTGGGGGGCGGGGCAGAGGGTACGGACTGCAGGATGGGGATGCCAGGAGTGGGTGCAGTGGCAGCCAAGACTTTGCCGTTGGTGGAGGTGCCCGGTGGGAGGGTGAAACGGATGCTGGTGGTGGGTGCTGGGCCGCTGGGAGCCGCTGCCTTGGTCCCAGGGGCTGGTGCTGGGGCAGGCGCCACTTGAAGCTGCTGGGGCAGCGTGGGCAGGATGTACTGCACCTGAGTGATTCCCCCAGCCTTGCCCAGGGCACCTGGCTGCAGAATACCCAGGGGCACTGGCCCATTAGGGCCACTCCCAGCACCTGCTCCTGAGCCTGTAGTGGCCCCACTGCCAGGAGCTCCCTGGGCAATGAACTGGACAGCAGGAGGTGCAGGGGCCCCATAGCCTGGGGTGCCCACCAGCAGGTTGGTGACAGTGGCAGGAGCCTTCCCCACAGTGCCCAACAGGGGCCCAGCCACCAGATGTGGGGCTGGTGAGGTGGCTGTTGCTGACTTCTTGTCTGAATACACTAAACTGACGCCCAGCGGAGAGCCCCCAGGTGCCCGAGACCCCGGCACTGTTTCAGTCCTGGCACCTGCTGTGTCATTTGGAGATGCTTCCGCCCGGCCAGAAGTGGGGAAGGGCTTGGAGGCGATGGGCACAGGAGTGCTGCTGACAGGCCGCACCACATTGGTGACCATGGTGGCAGCTGGGCGGGACAGGGGGACTGCTGGGGCCCCATACGCCAGCGATGGGGCTGGAGTTGAGGGCACACGGGCTCCGCTGCCCTCCCTTTCCTCCTTGTTTGGAGGCAGGACTAGTGTCTGTAGGACACTTCCTCCCCCTCCAGGAGGTGCTGCAATAACTGAGGAGCCAGGTGGCTCTAGGCTCCCCACACTTTCAGGCCTCTTGCGCCGGAAGGTGGTAGGATCCGTTGGGAGGAAGCGGGTGGCCTTGGAAGGTGTCGCTGGGCCCCCAGGGGGTGGGGGCCGTAGTGGGCCTGCTGTGCTGCCCTGACCTGACTCCTGGGCCTTGAAGGTCCCTGAGCCCAATGAGAAGGAGGTGGCTGCTGAGGCTGAGGAGGATGCAGGCGAGGACGAGGAAGATGGGGTGGGCCCATAGCCTTTGCTGAAGGCTGCAGGTGGATCCGGGGGCCCTGGGGGCTCAGGATCCAGCGACGGACGGCAGTGGGTAAAGGAAGAACGGATCACAGGCGAGAACACCTTCCTACCATAGCTCTGGGTGGGAGAAGAGACATAACTGTGTCAGGGAGCCTGGATACCCACACCCTGCTCATCTGTCCCACTGGGCAGCCATCTAAAGGCTTCAATTCATCCAGACTGACACAGTTCTCCGTGGAGCAAATAACTTCCCTTTTCAGGCCCTTGGTCAACACGTGTAGGCGCAGGTATCCTCACTCCTGCAGTTGAGTGGAACCAGACAATGCCAAGTCCCAAGTCCTCACCTTGCTGCCCTCTGCGTCTTCCCCAGAGCTATCTCCACTCTCGCTGTCAGTTACCCGCTCCTTGCACTTGAGGTCAATGTCAGTGGTACCGAAGCCATCATCAGCTGAGGGACCAGAGGGAACAGTGTTGGCAAAAGAACTGAGTCTCAGCTCTGCCCCAAGCCAGCAATGAGTACTGAAATGCAGTTTCTCAGTTAGGGGTGAGCCCATCTACTGGAGCATGCAGGTAATAGCACCTAACACTGTGCCCAGCGGCCTGCCCCTGCCCAGATCTTCCTGGGTGCCTGTCTAACTAGGGGCTTTCCAAGGGTAGGGCTGGGCTTACTCAGAAGGGCCTGAACTAAACACACCTGCAACCATAAACAAATATGGAAGGGAAGGAAAAAGGGGCCAGAGGGCCTGGATGCAATCTCTGCCCACCGTCCAAACCTTAGCCTGCTGCCCCTGAGCAGGAATCTGGGCCCCTGCAACTGCTCACCAATGACATCATCATCCCCTTCCTCCTCACAGATGACCATGCGTTCCTCATCACTAGTCATGTCCTCACTGGCCGCACGCTGGGAACGGGAGGCTCGGGTAGGCAGCAAGGGAGGCCGCCCACTGGCCGCCAGGGCACCTCCCTCTCCGGGAGCTGCAAAGGGGCCTGGAGCCCCAAATTGTGTAGAAGGCTTTGGGCCAGAGTAGGACGCAGGGCCAGACACCATCTGCAGGGCAGGTGCAAGGAGAGTTCAGCTGGGGCTGTTAACTTGGGCAGCCCTCCCTGCCCATCTCCCTCACTCCCATGGCCTGCACCCCAGACCTGAGTCAGTTCCTGTAGTGCCTGGCTGTCTACTTCTCCGCCATCCAGGCTGTGGACCCCACTGTGGGAGAAGGCTCGGGGCCGGGCCGAACCAGGTCCCCCAACTGTGTGCAGACGTTCTGCCCCACAAGAGCCGCTCCCTGGAGCCTTGGGGTCCGAGCTCAAGAGTGTCTGGGCTGCGACAGACAGAAGCTCAGAGGACACTGTAGAGTGGAAGGGGGAGGAAGTGCTGCAGAGTCAAGAAGCCTCTTACCAGCACCTGGACAGTATTTCTAGGTACTGGGCAAAGCAGGCTGGAGCTTCTGGGCCACCGAGCGGAGAAGAGATGCCACTCACCAGCCCAGCATGTCCTTCCCATTCATTTCTGCCCTCTGGAGCCCAGAGGACAGCCCTTCTGAGAGTAAGAAAGTCTGGAGACAGGTTTGTGTGGCATTGGCAAGCTAACACCCATTGGTCGGCTACCGCATTGCATCCCTGCCCTCAAGAGTTGTGGGCCCAGACCCACAGGACTGCTCTAGAAAAGCTCCTCACTACAGCGCCAGGCACACCTGACATCTGCAGTCAGTTGAAGCATCAGTGAGGAGCCCTCAACTGTGGCCTTGGGAGTCAGCCAACCTGGACTTTAACTTCTGGCTCTCCCAATTACTATTCTCTGTGATTTCAGCCAAGTGGTGGTGTTGCCTCTCTGAGCCTCAGGTTTCCCATCAGAAAAATGGGGTATGGTTTCAGTCCTAGAGATTATACTCCCCCTGGTGCCTGGTGTGTAGTAAATGCTCTGTAAGTGGCAGCTGATAATAAGATTGCTGTTTGTAAGTTTTATCTGTCTGGACTTTCCTGGATGTTTCGCATGAGACAAGTGCTGGTTCTTTTGTAGGTAAGGATCCTCAAATAAAAGTGACAGGACAGAGGAGAGCTGCTGGGGGAGGGAGGGAGTGAGCAAGAGGGTACCAGAGGTTCTCAGGGAGGGAGGTGGCAGGGCAAGAGAACCAAGGAGCTGACTAACCTCCAGGGGCAGCGGCAGTACCCGTCTCCGACATGCTCCGCTCCCGAGTTTCTTTGTGCCCTCCTGCCAGCCCAAGGCTCGTGGGCTTGGCCTCTGAGCTGGACTTCTTCCGGTCCTTGTTGCACCACTTCCAGTCTGGGTGAGCCTTAAAGTGGGCCTCTTTCACCTGGCAGGACAGGACAGGGAGACCTTTCACTCACCCACCCACGAGAGGAAGCTGGGGTGAAGCTAGGAAGAGGAGGCATTACCTGGAAGGCCAGGTCATGGTACTTCTGCTTCTCCTTGGGCCCCAGGGCATACCACCACTCGCCCAGGATCTTGCTGACGGTCCTGTTGTCCTGGTTGGGGTGACGCTGGTGGACCAGGGCCCGGTGCCTCTTGCTGAAGATCATGAAAGCATTCATAGGCCGCCGGATATGGTCCTTTTCCCGCTACATCAGACAGACGCCCAAATACAATAGTTAGAACCAAGGAAACAGGTTTAAACAGCCACAAGGTGAACTGGAGACAGGTGGGGACATGACACCTTGTTGGGGCTGCGTCCATCCTTCTCTGAAGATGAGTCTCGTTCCTTGGGCAGGGCACTGAGGGACTGGGTCCGGCGTTTTCCAGGTGGCAGAGGCAACTGGATCTCAGGAGACATGATGGAGAGGAAGCTGTGGTGGGAACAGCAAGGAGAGTGAAGGCCATGTCTCTGGCCATTCCACCCCTCAAGTCCCAGGCCTCAAGGCACTCACGCATCATCATGGTCACTCTCCGTCTCACTGTCCAGCCGTGGTTCTCCTGGAGGGCCAGGGGCTTCCTCCTCCGTGGTGGGAGGGAGGCCTTTCCCAGGTTCTACCACCCCCAAAGTGTGGGGGGGTCCAGGTCCTGGGCTCTCAGGGCATGTGGCTCCAGGGGGCCGCCCAGGGTCAACATTCCCTGTCCCACCTGGTAGCTGCTCATGAGCAACAGCCGCCGACTCAGCAGGTTCTGGGGACAGAGAGACAGATCAGAGGGTTCATGGGCCCCTTCAACACCGGTCCCCATGCCTTCCCACAGCCCCCCACCCCTCACCTTTGCTCTGGTTGGAGGCCACTGGGTGGCTAGCAGGTTGCTGGGCCTCACTTGGCTGCACGGAAGGGTCTGGCTGGCTGGGGGCCAGGAAGGGGACTAAGGAGTGCCAGGGGAACACGGCGACAGAGCGAGGTTCCACATTCGTCCACACTGTGGGAAGGAGCCAGATGAGCTCTGTAGCAGGCAAGCTTGGCCTTGACCCTCACCCCAAGCTTTTTTCTACCGTGGACAAGGAAGCTCCACCTCTCCTTTATACCCCCCTCTCCCAGCTCTGAATCTTTTGACATCATGCATGCAACACCACTCAGATAAAACTCCTGCCTGAAAAGTTTCTAGGTTTTTAAAAATGACAACAGAAGCAGGGAAAGGAAAGAGCCCTCACACCCCACTCCCTCCCCGACTTCCAGCAGGGATCAGGCTGGAGAAATGACTGGCTCCTGTCACAAACCAGGCCATAGTGGACTGCTATCCTATACTCCCAAGGCTCCAAGACCTCAGCAGGCCTAGAGACCCTCCTTCAACCATGCCATGTTGCCATCATAGCCTCTCACCTTAGCCTCACACTCCCTTTCTCTTTCCTGGGGCAGTTAGCCCTGTCTCCGCTCCCCTCCTCCCTCCATTACCCACAGGGCATGGGGTCTTCAGTTTGTCTCTCTGCCTCCCTCTCCTTAACAGAGGCTCTAGGGAGCCTTACCTGCCTGTCTCTGGCTGAGCACAGCATCTTTCCCCTTACCCCAAAGAGAATGTACTGTCTGTGAAGAGGCCTCCCACCCTCCCTTCTTCCCTCTAAAACCCCAAGCTCATCTTCAGAGTATGGCCCAACCCCCAAGCCCAGAAAGAGAAGAGGGTGTGGTAAACTCCTTGGAAGAAAAGGCACAGACAATGGGGCAGATGAGAGAACTACTACAAGTCTCTGCCCAGGGAAGGCAAGAGTGCCAGGTGTTTCCTTGAGAACATACACAGGAAGGCACTTCCCTCACCAGGGGCCAGACCCAGAGGTCCCACCTTCAGCCCCAGGAGCTGAGTAACTGGCTGGACTCCTGGGGCAGGCGGAGACTAGGAGTGGGCTTCCCTCTCACTGCTGGCTCCCTGGGGGAAGTGGAACCAGCAGCAGAGGCCCCTGCTAGGGGAAGGCGATAAATGGAGGAGGGGAACGCCCTAGCCCTGGTCTCCATCATTCCAGGCCTCCCCCTGACCCAGACCACTCTAACCTGGAGTGACCACCCATGCCTGCAGAAACCTTGACTAGGGGAGCCCTCAGTGAAGCACTGGCCTCCAGACCTGATTCTGTGAAGGGCTGACACAAGGAAAAATAGACATCAAGGCAACAGAAGAACAAGGAGGTCAGCACTATAAGCTCCTCAAGATGCTATGAAGACACTCTACCCCTGGGGACACAAAAGTCTTCTAGGTCCTCCAGCCCCTTAACAGCCCCCCAGGACCTGAACCTGTATCTCTCTTCACAAAGATCTTTCTCTCCAGAGCCTCTTCATCTGCTTGGGACCCAAGAGACAATGGGGGACAGTCCTTTGGTCCTGCACCTCCTCAACTCCCCCCAAGTGCACTACTCTCCAGGATCTTTGGGTCTCTCCTCCTGTCTCTCAAAGCTCACCACAAACACTCCAGCCCAAAACTGTCATGAGCAAACAGTGCCTCGCTCACTTCCCAAGCCCTGTCCTATCCCTACTCAGTCACAGCCCTTTCCCTCTGTCTAGTCCACATCTAGGACCAGCAGGTCTCAAGCTGCTCCGACTCTAATCCGTGCTCCCAAGCCAGCTACTCTGCACCCCTCACCCCCAATGACAACGGACTTCTTCACCCCATCACCTAAACAACACGGCTGCCTCAGCTACGCCCCACTGCCATCACTTTGTTACACTCCCACCTGCCGTCACTAACCACTACAGCAAAGCTCAGTAACTTTCCCGTCACCCCTTTACTCGGCCTCTACCATTCTCCTACTATATCCCTATCACCGTTGCTCCGCACTTAGCACCCCGACACTTTGACCCCTACAGTCCCAGGGCCCAGGAACTACTGACCGAACATTCCGAGGCCACGGGAGGCCGCGCTGGACGCGGGCACCAGGGGCCTGTGGGCTGAGTACATGATCTGGCGCCGGGGGGCCCGGCAGGGGCTCGCGCCTCCTCAGCGGCCGCCGCCGCTCCGGCCCAGGGGCAGCTGGAGGCCGTCGCCGCATGCCCCCCCCCCCAGGCCGCCCCCCTCCGGCCTCCCCACGCGGGGGTCTCCGCCGGGAGCGCCTGCGCACAACGCCGCCTGCCTCCCGCCGCCCAGGGGGCGGGGGAGGTCAGAGCGCTCCGGCCCCGCCCCGCCCCCCGGCGCGCGCGGGGGCCGTCACGGGGCGCGCGGCACCGGGGCCATCGGCGCCGCCCCCTCCCTCTCCCTCCTCAAGCACCGAGCCCGGCGGGGCGGGGCGCGGGTGCGCGTGCGCGGCCCCCTCCCTTTTCCCCGCTCCCTGGCTTGCTTGCTTGCTCCCTCCCTCCCTCGCAGCTCCGGCGGGTAACGGCTCTAGCCCCGCGCGCCCCGGCTGCCAGCGCCGCCGCCCCGCCTTTCCGGGCCCCGGCCAGTGGCTCAGCGTCGGGTCGACCTCCGGCCCCGGGCAGACAGACGGACCAGCGTGCGTGCGCTCGTGCGCTCCGAAAGAGCCCCGCTCCGAACCACCGCCGCCTCCCCGCCCCGCCACTACTACGCGCTCCCCTCCCCCCGCCGCGCCTCCCCCCGCCCTTTCCCCGCTTCCCCCGCGGCCTTCCGCGCAAGCCCGGCCCCCAGCGCGTGAGCCCATTGGATGCCGCCGCCGCGCGCGGGTCAGGCC